ATATAGAAAGCTTACAAAATTGATAGATTTTCAGAGACCCACATTCAAACATTTATACACACAGATTAAAACAAAAAACACCCAACAACATACCCTAACTAATTGTACAACGGAGATATGAAAAATCCCTGGAATAAAGGATGATGGAGCAGCTATGGAGAATCCGTTTGGCCGTTTGGAGTAGTGACACTGTAGCTTTCTTCTCCCTCCATTTTCTGTTAGAGTAGAGTCGCTACTTTGGTATATTACGTTTTTTCCATTTCTTGGCTATTTTCTTCTTTAGTCCTTGTCTTTCTGTTCTGTTCATTTTGGTCCATAATTTCATCTTTTCTAACAGCCCGCCCCGCCCCGCCCTGTCACGTCACGCCACGCCAAGCCAACTTTCCATTTAGGAAGAACCTTTCTATCACTAAGTCAAAATACTCCGTTCATTCTTCACACTCACCACAATCATACAAAACACAAACACAAAGCAAACAACTCTTCATCATTCAAGAGCGATTGATATATAAATAAGAAACTCGTAATGAGATTGCACAAGTCGTTAGAAGCAATTCTAAAATACGTAAACACATGTAATATACCAACGGATTACCCTATTTCCCCCATGCGGAAGAAAGAAAATTAAGTAAATCCCACGCATATGGGCCAAAAATGCAGATTTGAAACGATGAAGAAGAAGATTATTTACATTTACAAGGCCAGAAGCCACCAAAACTAGCAGTTATAAAGTTCAGAGATCAGAGTTAGAGGCAGCTGACCTCAAATCTAGAGATATAGTGAAAGGGGGATTGAAGAAGATAATTCCAAACTTATTATCTTAAATTTCCTAATTTTTCCAACCGATACTTTTTCTACTTTCCTGCATGATTTTAAAGGCCAGTTTGTGTTAAATAGTGGGGGCCTAATTATTACCTCCGTGTGGAGTTCGCTCGAATAATATTGAGTCACAAACAAGAAAAGAGTGTCGTTGATGGAAGATATGTAAAGTGCACAAAGAGGTATGAAGATGAAAGCAAAGAACAAAAATCAAAAAATTGGAGAAAACAAAAGAAGATTATAAGAAGATGAAAAGGAAGGCCCGAACACGTAATCGTTGTCCTCAAACTATATTTGCCCATCTCAAATTGAAATGATACTTAAAGGAATTATGACAAATGGTTTGCAGGATTAATCAAACATTGTAAAGGACTTAACACTTAAACACTAGTGAAAATCTTCCAAAACTTGAAGAACACAAAAAAGGAAATTTTTGAATATGTATGAAAGAATTTTTTGATTTCAATGATGTGTGAAATAAATATGTTTTCAAGAATGATATTCATCATCTTGACTTTGAACATTGATCACCTATATATAGGCATCAATAGTCTTCCACGAAATGGTGCCAAAATCAGATGAAAAACCACCAAAATTCAAATATCAACGGCCATAAATGGCTATACTTTTTCTCTATGCCGCATAGTTAATGCAGACACAGGGCCTTTCAGTTCCGATATGTGGTTATGCAATCGCATACCATATTGAACTATGCGGTCGCATAGTTCATCATTTTGGCTTCAAAATTCATTTTTTATTCCACAACCAATTTTACTAACTTTTGAACAATATTTTGGACAAAGAGTGTATTACATTGTGACAATTATATTGCTATTCACTTAGCAAAAAATCATGTTTATTATGCAAGCATAAAACATATATAGGCTCGTTATCACGTAATTGGTCAATTTTGGAGGATGGAATCTTGATACTTGAGAAGACTCGAGGGATTTAAATCCAATTGTCATGTTGACAAAGTCTATTTCGATCGAAAAACTGAAGTTGGGTAATGTGAACTACTCTTCACCTAAGGAAAATCCATAGGTGAAAGGTTGATACATTTTTTAGAAAAAAAGTTGAATTACATTACCTACAAAAATGTTGTTAGTAAATGATACACATATTAAACAACAACATTAGACACGAAATATTAGCTTGGTGAAGAGCTACCACATTTACCAACAAAAATTTCGTTGGTGATTTTCGTAGTTAAAAGTCTATTACTTTACTAACGGATAATCCATTTTGATTACCAACAGAAGCAGCTATTGGTAATTATCCGTATGTAAAAAATTGATTTTATTAGTCGAGAAGATAAAGTCTACGAGTTTTCTTTTGTAAGTTTCTTTTCATCATAGTGAATTACTGCGCGACATACAAGAACATAGTTTAACATTGGTGTAAACATCTATACATCATGCAAGTTCTTTTGTGTTTATTTTCTTTTTGCAATTTTATTACTCTCAATGATATAGAATTAAAGTTTCTAATTCTCAACAGTTTGTATCTTTCAGATATTGGTGTCGTCTCAATATAATTTTGAGTCTCTTCTCTTAAACTCTTACTACATGAGGACCTTAAAATCTTGAGAGTCATTTCCTGAATTAACATGACTTATCATATCACTTCCTAAATAGTAACGAAAAAAAAAGGCCCTCAGGGCACATCCCAATTAGCAAAGGAAGGGGCTCTTAGTTGCTAGCAGTTCAGAGGTCACACGTTTGATTCATGGGGCCTTTGGAAGGCAGACTCTCTCCTAAAAGACTTGATTTATCATAGAAGGCAGGAATTCTCTTGGAAAGTAAGGTGCAATATGTGTTGACTCGCTCGACACTTTGACGGATCAGTGGAGGGGCTCTTGGACCCTGACTAGTTTGGGGCACATTCCGCGATTTACTTGGACTGCGTCTTGAGGGGTCAAGGCGTAAACCTCTGGATTAGTCGTCAAAGGTGGACACCTGAGTATAAAAAAAAAAATGTTGATAATCATTCAAACAAATTTTGAACAGACCGGCTAACCTCACTTTATTTTATTATTATTATTATTATTAATAATTTTTTTGGGGAAGGGATAAGATTCCTACGTTTTACCGCAATCGATCCCTTCCTCCAAAGTCAAAACAGGCCTTATTCCCCCCACACATATACACAGAGAAAGGAAAAAAGAGAAAAAACGAAAACGAAAACGAAAGAGAGATTAATCAGATCGAGATCCCTCAAGATGTACGGGTTCACGGGGTTGAGCAGCAGTAGCCATGAGAAGGCTGAGGTTGATATAGAAGCGGGGGGGATGCTGTATCCTGGCATCGGCCACGGTGAGAATCAGCTCCGATGGGGTTTCATCAGAAAAGTCTACGGAATCTTGGCAGCGCAGATCCTCCTCACCACAGTCGTCTCCGCCGTCATTGTTCTCTATGCCCCCATCAATGACCTCCTACGTGGAAATTCTGGGCTCTTGCTGTTTCTCCTCTTCACGCCCTTCATTTGTAAGCAAAAATACCCTAAATTTTTTTTCAATTCATGATCTTATTATTGCAAATGGACATAATATGAATATGTACATTTCAGAGTAGATAACCTAAATCGATAATTCATTTTATGATGTACGGTGAGGATGTGTTTTTCAGATCTACTTAAAAAGGTATGGGCTGATTTGTCATGGTGAGATTATGTGAATGTATAAATGTAGAAGTGGAAATTTAGAGATTTTGAGAAAATTAGAAGTAAAATAGACATTAGAAGAGCAAAACTGAAAGCAAATGCAAATTATATGGAACTTATGGGATACATAGACGTGTAAGTTATTGATCTGTTGAAATTGGCAATCTTGATCATGAATTGCTTGTCATCTGGTTCATATGGACCAAACAGGATCGATTGATTTGTTTTCTGCTGTTGTTGTTGGGGTGGGAGGTTAGCATGCTCTGGCAACTTAAGAGTAGCATTATCTACAAGTTATCATATGTGTAATCCATCCAGTGCTTCTTCATTTATTGTAGTAGAAGCTTTAGGTTCAAGTGTGTGCATATTCCTCTGTGGGAATGTGTGTGAGGTTTGCGTAATTAGTAGTATTATACATGCGCATTACAGCCTTTTCCATCATTCTTCAAATTACTTCTTTGTAATTGATGATCCTCTGAAAATTATGCACTTGGCGGTATCATTTATTAGGTTATCCTATATTGGTATTAACTAACAATATGCTTGTCAAACATTAATTATATATTTTCTTGTTTTCATGATTTGGTATAGATTGACAGTGTTCTTAATAAAAGAGTGGTATTTCAGATGTCTGTTTGGTAAAAGACTGGTATAAATGCTAAATTTATTGCCCTTGTATGATGTATTTTATCTTGGGTTTCTAGATTTCATCTCGGCCACATATTATATTAATGTATTTTTGTTTAATGTCACTGATTTAAGTTTCCCTATCAAAAAAAAATTTAATGTCACTGATTCTTCAAATTAGGGGTGGGCAAAAACCCGCCCGAACCCGATCAACCCGCCCGAACCGACCCAACCCGATCGGGTTGGGTCGGTTTTTTTATTTTTTTTGGTTGGGTTCGGGTTTTGGGAATGAAGGCGGGTCGGGTTGGGTCGGGTCACGGGTTGGGTCCACAAAAACCGCCCAACCCAAACCAACCCAACCCGCTTAAAAAAACTCAAATTTTTTTTTTTTTTTTTNCCGACCGACACTTGATTGGGTTGGGTTGGGTTTCAATGTGTATTTGGGTTGGGTTGGGTTGAAATTAGATCAAACCAACGGTGTTGGGTTGGGTTTGGGTTGGGGGAAAAACCGACCCAACCCAACCCACGCCCACCCCTACTTCAAATATTGGATAACCAATATAATTCTCTTCATGTTCGTGTACCAGTTCATACATTTTAGGTGATATACTGCTGAACTAATTTGTACAAATTACAAACATTGAGGAGTTGCTCAATTGGTCAGGCTTTGGGTTTGCTCCCCAATAGTCACCAGTTCGAGTTCCCTCAAGGCCACTGAGGTGAGTATCCGGCCTTAAATTTTAGGGCCTGTGCGATTAGTCGAGGTGCGTGCAAGTTGGTTGGGATATTCACGGTTATTAAAAAAAAAAAATTGTACAAATTATGGATAAAAGAATTTATAGGAAATTATTAACTTCAGAAGATTTACAGCTGAACGTGTAGTTGCTGGCTGTTTTGATACTTTCCCAGGATGATTTGAACATTTACTTTTGGAGGACATTATCCAAATCTTGTATTTATTATTTGTTCAGCTAAGCAATGCATAAATTAGTGACCTTGAATCTTCATACTCCTCTGTAACGAACATTCTTGCTGTACTTTAATTCAAATGCCAAGTAGGTGTGATGAAGTGTACATGTGCCCATTTTATCGAGAAACGTTAGTTGATGAAACCTATAATATCTTAATAGTCTTACATATTTAAATTTTCTGTTCATGTACAAAATGTAGAAACTACAATGTGTGTACTACAGAGTCTTATGCTTGCAAGTTGCAACTCTTATTCAACCCTGACATCATTTGTTTATGGGCCTTGTCTGCATGTTGGTTATATATTAATAACGCATCTAATCTTATGCAGTACTTTGGCCCTTGCACATTTATCAACAAAAGCATCCTCTGAACTTCATCTTCCTCGGGCTATTTACCGCTTCCATAAGTCTCACTGTTGGTGTTAGCTGTGCCAATACTGAAGGTCAGTAGTTTTCCTGCGAATTTGAAGATGTTATGGGAAACTATTACTTGCCTGACTTTTTTTCCTTGCGCCATGCACAGGAAGAATCGTACTTGAGGCCTTAATCTTGACATCAGCCGTGGTTTTAGCTCTGACTGGGTATACTTTCTGGGCTTCAAAGAAGGGAAAGGACTTCAGCTTTCTGGGACCAATCTTGTTTACTAGCCTCATTGTGCTGCTTGTGACCAGCTTTATCCAGGTCTCTCTATCTCTCTGTTATGTGTGCATTTGTGAATTCTGTTCGTTTTATCTTTCTTTTTGTTCTCAAAAATGACAGTGACGTTGATTATCTAGTAAACAATATTTCATTTGGTGTGCAGATGGTCTTCCCTCTTGGACCTACATCTGTTGCTATCTACGGTGCATTCGGTGCCATTATATTCTCTGGCTACATAATCTATGACACCTACAATCTGATCAAGCGATTCACTTATGATGAGTACATCTGGGCATCGGTCACTCTTTATCTGGATATTCTCAATCTCTTCCTAACTATTCTGCGGATGATGAGACAGGGAGACAATTAAGACTATGGTGCATTAGTGCCCTGCTTCTATTTGCCGTAGGGATTATCTCCTATATTAAGTGCAAAGACATGTACACCTGGTACATATACTATTATTACTTGCTGTATCTTTTGAATCGAGTGATTACATAGACGCCCCAAAATCTATCTGTAATAAAGGGGTGTAATTGAATCAGTGTGAGTATGTGATTTTTGATATTTCTGCTTTATAATTTTGATTTCATTGTAAATTTAGCTACTATGCGGTTGAGCAGTTTTGAAGGAAAAAGCTGTTATCATCGTTTGAATTTGTGGACCCATAATATTACTTTATTTTCTCTTCAGTTAGCCCCCATTGGACAGGAGTGTCTTTGAATTAGTACCCACTGAAAAAAATTAGTTTGGTTGGATTAATCTTTTCTTGAAGTGTAACTAACCAGAGGAGCTTCTGGAGGAAGCTACAATTGACCTATGGTCATGGTTTAAAAAGGTGGTAGTGAGACGCGCATCACTGTGAGGCGCATGTAGCACGTCATGAGGTGGTATTTTTGAAACTAAAAATATGAGGCTCACGCCTCAAGGCGTGCCCTACTACATCCTTTTGTAGAAATTGAGAGTAGCGAAGAGGAAGATAATTATGAAATTAGATATTATGATATTCCATTAACAGTGCTAGTAATAGTGACGATAGTGCATGCTATTAGATTTTTTTTGTTTAAGCTGTTTCTTTTTTTCCATTGCAAATGGAGTGATTTCTAACTTTTGTAATGATTTTTTTTGCTAAACGTCTTCTTTCTTTACGTGGATTATATCTCAATATGCTAATGGTTATATATCCTATTTACTATATGCTCTAACTTTAATTTTTTTTGTATTTTTGTATTATTTTATAATTTTATTAATTGAATTTTTTATTTTTTGTGAGGCTTGTGCCTCAATCTGTTTCGAGACTTACGCCTCGTCTCATAAAGAAAAAAGCTTCTCAGTACTTAGTTTTGTCTTTATAAACATTGCCTATGGTTTCTTCTTTCTGAAAAAACCCTTCTATAAAAAGTAAAAATTCTGATAAACAGGGCATAAAGATGTCTAGAAGGTTTTTTACTGGAAGTAATTTTTGACATTTTAAAATTACTGCCAAACCGACTCTTACCTGAATTGGCTTGAAGTGTCTAAGCCTGAGTCATAATGTTGTAACGAATCATGTTTGGTGTACCGTGGTTATTAATGTCCACATTGCAAATTGGGATTTGACAGTTTTTTTTTTATTAAAAAAAATAATTTTTCCATCCAATCAATTTTTGACAGTCATGCAAATGTCAAGCATGATGTACAAATTCAATGTACAGATGTCTAAATTCTCTAAACAATGACTTTTGGTCTATAATTTTTTTAACTTCACTACATGTATGAAAATTATATACATATAGGTTGACATATGCATGCATGTCTCATGATTTGAATTTCGAAAATTCAAATCATGAGACATGATTTGGCAATGAGCATATATGTTTGGCTATGCTTAAAACATTTACTTTACTAGTAAATTTACTTATAAGTAGATAAGTTAATTTTAGAATAAACACATATTTTACTGGTTAAAATAAACAAGTTTAAGGTTTAAAAGTAACTTTTATAATTGAATATTTGAGAAAAAATTTTACTTATATTTGTTAGCCAATAATTTTTAATTCAGCATCGCAACGAAGGAAAATAATCATATATTTAAATGGTATATTTGAAAAGTAAATATATAGCATAAACAATATATGCTCCAACTTTAATTTTTTTTGTATTGTTGTATTATTTTATAATTTTATTAATTAATTTTTTTATTTTTTGTGAGGCTTGTGCTTCAATCTGTTTCGAGATTTACGCCTCGTCTCATAAAGAAAAAAGCTTCTCAGTACTTAGTTTTGTCTTTATAAACATTGCCTATGGTTTCTTCTTTCTGAAAAAACCCTTCTATAAAAAGTAAAAATCCTGATAAACAGGGCATAAAGATGTCTAGAAGGTTTTTTACTGGGAAGTAATTTTTGACATTTTAAAATTACTGCCAAACCGACTCTTACCTGAATTGGCTTGAAGTGTCTAAGCCCGAGTCATAATGTTGTAACGAATCATGTTTGGTGTACCCTGGCTTATATTCGTCCACATTGCAAATTGGGATTTGACAGTTTTTTTTTATTAAAAAAAAATAATTTTTCCATCCAATCAAGTTTTGACAGTCATGCAAATGTCAAGCATGATGTACAAATTCAATGTACAGATGTCTAAATCCTACTGTAACACTAAACAATGACTTTTGGTCTATAATTTTTTTAACTTCACTACATGTATGAAAATTATGTACATATAGGTTGACATATGCATGCATGTCTCATGATTTGAATTTTCGAAATTCAAATCATGAGACATGATTTGGCAATGAGCATATATGTTTGGCTATGCTTAAAACATTTACTTTACCAGTAAATTTACTTATAAGTAGATAAGTTAATTTTAGAATAAACACATATTTTACTGGTTAAAATAAACAAGTTTAAGGTTTAAAAGTAACTTTTATAATTGAATATTTGAGAAAAAATATTACTTATATTTGTTAGCCAATAAGTTTTAATTCAGCATCGCAACGAAGGAAAATAATCATATATTTAAATGGTATATTAGAAAAGTAAATATATAGCATAAACATATTCTCTTTTCCCATATATTTTTGGTATATTGAATTTGTTAAAATTGACATCGAAAGTCAAAATTGATTCTTATAGATGGATCGAGTCAAATTTAATTACGATCTATCTCAATAACAAATTGAATTTAAGAAAGGTGTCTAATTGAATTTAAGTAAAGTCACCCCGACCATGTATCGACTTGGAATTTTAAGTCAAGTCACACTGACCTAGCATAACAATTGTTCATGTTCACTTCTCTTTTCCCATCTCTACAATAAAATTACAGGAAGAAATGTTAAACCATTTATCTAAGGCCATCATCTTCCAATATCTCTTCTTGTTTCCGCCTTTCTCTAGCCTAGGCCACCACTTTCAATTGGATTTTAGCAATAATAGTTTCGATCTCCATGACGAGGAACACACAACCAAACTGAAGATCAAAACTCGAAAAAGAATAAACCGGAATGAATGAAGAAGACTTGCCGCTTGAGCCTTGAAATATGTATGGAAAGCGCTTTCTTCAAGTCCAAAACTTCTCCCAAGTTTAAGTGAGCAATTTAAACATTTATTCTCACTTTTTATTCGAACAATTTTCCAGCAAACATACCATATACAGAACCGAGCCTACCAGCATGACATTCAAATGACGGCCGATATGTTTTTGATGTTTGCAGACATATTATTGACGTTGATCAATCCCATCCACTGCAGAGCCCTACAACAATGAAAGAATCCATTTGTCTCCCTTGCCATTGAGCAAGTAGAGGGAGTTTCTGACTCGTCATCTCCTTCAAAAAAGCAGCAAGAACTTGGCCTTCATTTTTGTTTCTGGACCAAGCAAGCAAGGTCCTGTAGGACTAGAAGCTGATTTAAGCAGGCGAATCTACTTGGAAAAAGATAAAAAAAAAAAAAATTGTAAAAATATAAAAAAAAAAAAAAATTAATAGGACCAAGTTTTTCTACCCACCAACCACTACATTCAAATACTACAAAATCAAGATTTGTACTGCAATCTGGAACACTAAAATGAGAAGGAACTCAAGTAATTGCAGTCATTGTGTTTAATATTATAACACATGAAGAACCAAATGATCTGCAGTCGATTAGTCACACATTTGGTAACTTTTTCATAACAAACCTTCAATTTTTTTCCATCAATGGTTAACTGACCGCAAGGGCATAGAACTTCCGGGGGGATGTTTTCTTGAATAGGTAAGCCCCCATACAGTCAGTCAATTTCGGTAGACTTGTATAAATATAAAGTCGGCTTGCACACTTGATCAAAACTCAAATATTGCACGCTTCATTCTAATACTTCAAATTTTGCATATGATTGCAGTGCATGCGAAAATTGAAAATTGCACATAACAGAAACTGCTTATTGGAGTTCAGATCATCAATTGCCCAAATATTAAGCATACCATTCAAATGCAAACGCAGCTGTACCAAACATTACAATATGCCACCAAGTATGTAAAACTATCCAACACGAAAATAATAAGCAGATATGAACAACGTAATCACATTACACACAGATTGCATGAAATGCCGCAGCATCTTCGTTCAAATTCTTCTTCTGCTCCTTGTAATGGGTTTCTGTATACTGCATCGCTTCAGCCACACACTATTTCGTCAGATTAGAGGCTTCCTCAGATGAAAGTCTGTGAATGTTCTTATTCACCACCCGTTGAATCCTTCTTCTTAGTTGAAGACCTTAAGCGATCCCGTGGTTGAAACCTTCGGAGCCAACTACTTGTCGGTAATTGTTTGCTGTTATACCTTCGCGTCCTTCGGCGCGATCAAATTCTGATGGTTTTCTTCTCTTGTTTTTCCATCTATTAATGAATCATGTAATGAATCCTACTTTTTGGACAAAAAAATGGCTTGGCATGTTATTGATCCTTGGGCAATACACATGTAATATCATGACTTAGCAGGCTCGTCGTCATCCTCAATATCCCATGTCAGATCTTCATCTTCCTCAGCAGCACTCAATCGCTTGCGCAAATCAGCTCTGTTTGAACTTGGACTATGGCTCCCACGTCCACTTCCCTTGCTATCATCCCCACTCCCAATATATTCAATCTCATCCCATCCAAGGTCTTCTTCCTCGTGCAATGATGGTCGACTTGGAACTGAAAAATCACTCTCATGAGTCCCTTCTGAACTTGCTTTTTCATCGCATTTTAGTCTCTCTTCAAGATCTTTCTTCTCATCCACCCCACCATCAGTTTTTAACCCCGAAACCCCCTGTTTATCCTCATTGTCCCTTTCCAAATCCTTCTCATATTCAACCGGTAAATTTTCCACTTTCTTTCCGTTCTTCTCAATTTCATTCCATTCATTATCATCAACATCACTGTCAACATCCCAACTCAACTCCTCTTCTTCCTCCCCTGATATAGCTCTTTTCACAATTCGCGCCCTTGTTTCCTCCACTTTCATCACCTTATACACCCTATAGAAGTACCTACACCAAAATGTCTCCTCGTCTACTTTCAATGGCACTAGTTCATCATGAATCTCCTTAATCACCCCATTTTCTTCAAAGAGCTCCTCGATTTTGTCCTTCTCCTCCTCAATTTTAAACCCTACTTTCCACTCATTATAATCACTCTCCTCCACCTTCTCACAGTACGTTTTAACATCACACTGTATCGCGCGTAGTATCGCATCTACTCTGCTATACGGCTTAGAATTTTCACTAAAGCTCGAATCTTTATCAATTTCATCCAAATGGGCATTCAAAAAATCATCATGAGCAGTAGGGTTCAGCTCTTTACCGATGATTCCCGAGACAGTGGACCCCACGTTGTCGATGGCCTGGCCGACAGCCTCCAGGGACTCCTGGGCAATCGCGGCGCCGGATTCCAGCCGAGCCGGGAGGTCATGTACAGCTCTACTGGCGGCATGGCGGATCACCGATGTCTCTTCTTTCAATCCAGAGCTGAATTCTTGAAGATCTTTGTAGTAATTGTCAATCAAAGATTCAGATTTAGAGGCTATGTTTTTCAACAGGGTAGAACCGAATGCCCATGGGTTTGATTTGGTGGGTGGATCGGGCTGGGAATTTTGTGAAACGGGTGGGGATGTTTGTGAATCAGAGGAGGAGGGTTCTGTGAAGACTGATCTGAAGAAATCCATGGAGGGATTTTGGAGTGAAATTAGAGTGTTCTTGAATATGTATATATGTATATATATAAGAGACGGTGGAATGTAAATCTTCAGTTGTATATACGTACGTATCTATGTGTATTTGTACAGAGAAGAATGTAGAGACTTCTAATAAGTTTGTGTAATGTTATTCATCCTAGTGAGGATGAAAATACATTCTATGTGATTTTAAATGGTAGATTAAATAAAATTTGAATTTCACTTATCATTTAATGTCACATTAACGCCACTTAAACTGTGTTTTCATCTTTAGTGTGGATGTATAGCATTACTCAATAAGTTTAGACCTTTAAAATGTACATAATAAACTCTTTCTAATTTCAAGATTTTTAAAAGAACCATGCTATAGGTACCCGGGGGTTTACACCCCGGGTTACCCGACCCCACACGCCCCCCTCACAAGGGGGGGCCCGCCGATTATTTAATTCACCTCGGGCCCCACCTCATTGTGAGG